GCCCAAGTTCAATATGTCAACTATAAGCCAAGCTTAATCTATTCTTAGGGTCTCTGGTATATAAAAAAATGCTATCTAAAATAAACAATGCTTAGCCTGGTGGCCCGCAAGGCTTATAATATATTGGGGGAAACCCCGCACCATGGTGTTGACTGAGGCAGTGTTGTTTTTGTTCTTAGCTTGGGATGATACTTGGTAGTGGATCAAAGTCCTGTTACGAGGCTACTGTCTAAGGTTAACGTCCGTCACTGGAAATGTACCAACATGGCTTACTGAACGATATTTTAGGCTTCATACAATAGTTTACTTTAAGAAATCTTACTCTGGAAGATTTCTGAGATTTACAGTAAAAGCTTGTAGTGTTTTCAAGCAAATTTTTTGACGTTTCAAACTCATAAATATCCTCACATTTTCAATTAATTTTCTTCGATTGTTCAGCAGAAATGCTCTCCTTTTGTTTCTTTTCTTGGTTGCTGCCCCTTAACTCTCCTGCATATTGCATATTATGATGACCAGCCTTTGTTTTTGTACCACTAAGAAGTCCTCCTTGAAGGGTTAAAAACTCCAGAATGCATGAAACAACATGGACGGCACGTTTTAGCTTGGCCTCAAATGAAAACTCGAGTCTTTTCTCTGAGTATCTGTTAGCGGCAGCAGGTGGGGCTTCCTTAGATCCGGCGTCGTTCCTAACACCACGAAGGCAGCCTCGGGTGGCAAGAGTCTCGCTCCGCTCCGTGGGCTGTTCTGTTTGGTACCTCCGGATGCCTGCAGCAGCCTGCCTAATTACACCCTCCTGCCTCCGCCACCCCGCTCTCCTCCCTCTCTCTCACCATCTGTTGACCTCATGTCATTCCGCCTTCCTTCACCACCGCTGCTCCCTTTTTCTCCCCCCGCTTCCCTTCTTCCCTCCATGTCCAACCCCGCTGCTTGCAGTTTGCTCCAGCTACTCCCAGAGAACTTTTTTTTTTCGTTCTCTCCCTCCTAAAATAGCTGGCGGGAGATAAAGAAAATAAATAAAGCCAGGCGTCCTCTTTCAGGTTTGCCCTCGCGTCGAGTCGAGACGGGGACCGACCAAGAGAGTGGGCGGCCGTGTTCATAAGCGTGTGACTGGTTGTCTGTGCCTTCTTCTGATCTCTGCCAGTGGAGTCTGAAACCAACGCCTTCGAAAAGTTCGAGGGAAAAAAATTGTTTAAAGCCATATGGTTTGTAGAAATGAGAGTTTAGGCTTTTTTTTTTTTTACCATCCTAAAAAAAATGCCTGTGCTTATTTAATATACTTCAAAGTCTTTGAATCAAAGGCATAATGTGTGTGTGTGTTTGTCTGTGTGTGTACGTGAATAAAGAAGGCAGAGATCAAGTACAGACCCCTGGCCCCTTCCCCCATCCTTTAAGAAAATATAAGTCACATGACATTTTTTACTTGTGACTCATTGTCTCTGTTTCGCTCTTTTTTTTGTTGTAATATTTTACTCCCCTTTCTTTACTTTGGCCGTCTTTTCACCCACATTCCTTCGTCTGTTTTCATCTGCTCCTTTCTTTCGTTCTCAGCCGTCCTCCCTCTGTTGCTCCCCCCTCTTCTACCAGCAGATTGATTCCAGATGTTGCTAAACTCATCCACCCCTCCTTCTCTCCCTCCTTGTGTTTTTCTTTCCTCCATAAACCCCTCCCTTCTTTTTGCCTTTTTCTTTCCTTTTTTCCACCGTGGAGCCTCCAGAGACTCTGCAATTTGATGGTTTGGGATTGTTTCGGCCGGCGTTTTCTGCGGCGCGGCGAGGTTTCCTCTCGCTTCTCATCAGCAGTGCGTCAAACGAACCCCCTCACGTTGACCGAGGGAAACGCATTCAGGGCCTTTTGGTTAGCGGCAAGGAGTTAATTGGGGGTAAATGCAGAAGAAGCGCTGCAGATGTTTGAGTGTCTCTGGAAAACGTGCCTCGGGATTCGTAGATCCGAGGTTCTCGGCGCCTTGCGTCACCAGCGGTTCGTCCTCAGCTCAATGCAAGCCTGTGAAGGAGAGCTTTCCCCCTGGGGACGAGGCACGAGGGGGAAATTGGTTCCAGATGAAACGGGAAGTGGAGGGAAAAGACAAAGAGAGAGCTGTTTCAGGCGGGGAAAAGGGAGGACGGGCCCCAACTCCCGCTTCTCTGACTGTCTGAGTTTACAGCTCGTATAACAAATGTTAGTTTTTGTTTATTTTTTCGTTTGTTTCCTTCAAATGCGGCTCATTTTATCAACACCATCTTGTTTCTACTCTCCTTTGGCTTTCATCAAGCACACAACGTCCACACACGTCTTTATTGGTCCACGCGTTAGCATTACAGTGCCCTGTGGAATTCAGCACAATTGAACCTTCTAAAATTTTTTGTCAGACCAAAGTATTTAGTCGAGATTTTGTGAAAGTAGCCCAAAATTGTGAAATGTAGAGAAATAAAAATCTGGTGAGATATACATTCAGGTACTTTTTACTCTTCACACAAGGAGCCACTCCCAATAAGTAGAAGGGATGCGCTCCTTCTACTTATTTGCAATGGAAACTAATGGTGCATTTACAACGACACTACTTAGCTTTCACTTGAACACTACAAACCGAAGTACAAATGTACTCTGGTGCAGTTCGAATGCATATGTGAACGCTACAAACAGGAAACAGACTGCAGTGCAGGGCATTTTGGGTAAATGCAGCCAAAGCGAACATGAGTGTATCTGGCACTAGCAAGAGAAATTGCTTTTTGGTTTTCTGCCAAAGACAAAAGAGAAATCCTACAACTTCTAATATCGGACATTTGACACGGGGCAGTGTGAAAGTGAACCGCAGCAGGTGAAAAAGCAACAAATGTTTCAAATTTTGGTAAAGTCAAGTTTGTTTGTGTAGCACATTTCAGCAACGAGGCAGTTCAAAGTGTTCTACACCGTAAGGTATCACTCAGTAACCAACTATGAAACAAGCAATAGATGCTGCATTTTGTTCAATTCCATCATCAAACTCGTCAAACAAATAAACATCACATGTACTGATCAATGTTCCAGTTATTCTGAATCTAATGAATCTCTAAAACAAATGGGTTCCTAGCCTGGATTCTAAGGATGTCAATGTTTGAGCAAGCTTCTCCATGTTTGGTTCTGGTTCTGGAGATGGACCAGAACCAAAAGACCTGAGTGGCCTGCGAAGTTGATACCGTGTCGACAAGTCTGTAATGACCCAGTTGAACCAAGTCTACCGGACTGTCTGTTATGAAACACCATGAGATCTGCAACACTCGCCATCTCGTCTGAACTTCAGCTATTTTTACGAAGAAGAATGGTCAAAAGTGTATCTTTACATGTTCAAAGATGGTTAAAAAAAAACTAACCTTAAAGACTTTCAGGTTTAATTGGAGCGAACGTGGGTTAAACAAAGCTTTGACTCGGCGGGCCTCAGTGCTGTACAAATTCCTCTACCCAGCTCTGTCTGTACATCTGTGTTTCCCATTAGTCTCTCTGTCTCTGCCAGTCCCAGTTTTACAGAGAGCTCTTCTGGATTAATAGCCTTTTCTCCGTCTGTTTATATAAACTTTGTGTCATCACGGCCCTCCTTCTCATACACTTGGCCTTGATTGGCTGGCTGAAAGCAATTAGGAAGTGATTCCCGCAGCGGGCAGCTCGAGGTCGGGGCAAGGAGGTTAACTCTGTTGACAGTCCTTGGAGTCTGAATCTGCTGTTGTTTTTTTTTTTTTTTTTTTTTGGTTAGCGCAGCCTGCAAGCTCATGGATTTCAAATATTTCCTGATTAAATTTACCCAACGCTGGGGTGTGTAGTTATTCTCAGACACGTTCCGTGTTTCTTTCTGTTACCCTTCCAGGCCTTCCCCTCTCACCCTCCTCCTCTTTGCTCAGCCAGACTCGCGCCTCGGCTCCTCTGCGAGCGCAGAGACATGAAACTCACCAGGCGGTCGTGTTTTCTCTGCAAGACGCACCAGTAGGCCCAGAGTCATCTCTCTCTCACCCTCCCTCTCCTTCTCACCGCTGTCAAAATATCATCATTTAGTTAACTTTCCCCATTGTTCCAGACCCAAACCCCCGACCCCAACGAACCGACTGTAGCGCCAAGGCAAACAATGGATCCTCTGGCCGAGTCAGAAACGGCACGGAGTAGGAAAATAAAAAGAGCAAGAGAGACAGAAATAATCTAATTAAAAGTAATTATAGAGCAATTAACCACAACAGTGGGTTTCTGAGTCGGGGTGTGGGGGTCTTCGGGGAACCCAGCGCTGCCGGTGGCTTCTGATTGGTTGGATCGGCTGGATCACGGTTCTTGGGAAAGTTGACTTGCTGTACAGAGCTGGATACTCAGTTTGGGTGTGAATGGTGCTTAACATAAATTTTTAGTGTTTTAAAGAACCTCTTGTTCCTTTTTAGGGTGGAATAATTTCACAGCGGCCAAGCTTGATGTTTACTAAAAATAAGAACAAGGTGCACACTTTTCAATTTATTCCTAAAGTAATGCATACACACTCAAACATAAGCATAGACCTCCAGAAACATTTGGACGAATGTCCTTCAGCCAGTTGCAGGGAAACCGCAAACTTCTCTCTACCTAGCTGACCAATTGAAGGCAAGCTAGCTAGCTTTTAAATGTATCAGTTTCCTTAAACTTGATGTTTACCCATTTCAAAACCAGAATAGTTGTGTGTTTGGAATCATTTAGAATTGAAAGGCCTTATTGAAAGATGCTGTTTGAAATTGGAGTTTAAGCGTTTTTGTTTGTTTCTCTGCATAGTTTATTTAATTGTTGACTTTAAAGGACTCTGTTTATCAGAATTGGGTGACCTCATTAAAACTGGTCAAATATTGAGCCAGAATTTCCCCTGACCGTTGTTGATTACTCCAAAAAAATGGGACAATGTGCAGGTAAAGATATATTTTTTGCGAACATTTCAAGTTTTGCTCCATCGCGCTGCTTTCCACTCATTTGCAGAAGCCTAGCAACTTAACGCCGCTCTCATCCCTCCTGTTGTCTCTTTTCAGAACAATGAGCCTTTAAACCCCGGTTTCCATGGATACGCACCTCACAGTCAGGTAAGAGATGATTATTTGCTTGCAAATCTCAGCAACAATAAACTTCGAGAATCCTTGACTCAGTCGAGCGCTGTCGGTTTCATCATCCGGCTGCTTTGAAAGCTGTGAAAAAGAAAAAAAAAAAAAAGGCAGAACAGACGTCACGTCTACTGCAGTTTTGCTTTTACTGCTTCGTCATTGGATGCTCGAGGTTGCTGGAAAAAATGTGTGCATCTCTGTTTATACTCGGGGGGTACTATAAAAAAAAAAAAAAGTATTTGTATGTTAACAGATTTATTCAGTTTTTGTTTTTTTTTCCCCCAGCTCAGATCATCAAACGAATTCTATTATTGGATAAAAAAAAGGGCCCAACCTGGAGAGCAACATTACATTTGTTTGCTAAAATGAAGCCCCGTAAAATTTATTTAAAAAAATCTAAGTTGATGACTGATTGTAAATTTTGTCGCAGCGGGATTATTTAATCTTGTAGTTTATTTTCTCTCGTGGGACTTTGTCAGACAATTTACCCTTGCTAGGTTTTTTTTCCATCTACCACGAATAAGCCCAAATTGATCGTCTATTGGCTGGATGACGTTCGGTTTCGCTGCTGCCACTTCAGTTGACAACTCGCACGAAGCGAAGTGCATTTTGTGCAGAAAAATAAAAAGAATAAATAAAACCAGGCTCTTTGGGATTTAAGACTGTAGCGAGTCGTATGCAGTTCGGGAAGCACGACGCCGCTACAATCAGACGCCGCTACAATCAGACCCCAGAAACGTCGCCGTTTTTGCTACGATTGATTGTCATACAGCGGGATCCCCCAATCATCCTCCTGTATTTATATTTTTTTGGTCGTAAATTTTATTCAAGCCGCCATTAAAAAGCTCTTTGTGGAAAATATTCCCTAGACTGCAAGGAAGGTGTTTATCCTGTTATATTTGATGTAAATCTAATAGCAAAAAATCCCCATATTGACAGGCAAACATGGTGGTGTGATGATCTGGTGCTACTTTCTTACTACAAATTGCCATAACTACTGGAAACATAAATTTTGTTCTGTAGCAGAAAATTTTGATTTCGGATCTTGAGCCACACGTTTGTAAGTCTCCAGGAAATGTATAAAATCATGAACTGGATGTTTTATTTCCTCATCTTATTTCTACATAATCATATAGTCAGTTTTAACATCTAAAACTTTCACAAAGCACATGTTTAAAGTCCTGTGTAAAAAATACTTTGGCCTCTTATCCTTGTCTTATTTCACTCAGTAATTTCATTTTGGAAAATCAGTAAACGTCTTCGTTCCTCCCTGCCGTCCCGCCTCGTTTGTCCCGCCTGCCAGATCGGAGACGCGCCTCGTTACGTCGACGGTGTTTGCGACTAGGAACCAGCATCGAACTCTGAATGGAAAGCGGAGCAGCTTATGACTAAGCTTCCCTTTCAAACACTCGAACCTTGGAAAGTGGGGTGAAATTATCCCATCGCCGGCTCGGAGCCGCGCTCCGTACTCGTGCTGGTGGAGGCGGCGGGGGTGGGGGCTTTTCACACGGATGTTCCCGTCCTTTCACTCCTCGGCTCCTCTCTCATCCTCTCACTCGTTTTTTTTCCTCTCTGTTTCTCTCCACGCGCATTGCTCTCGGTAATCACTGCCTTATGTGTGCAGAGGAGAGGAAGAGGAGTCGAGTATTTTGTTATCTGCCTTCCAGCAGCAGCACACACTCAGCGGCTCAAACCGTCTCAGGACTCTGATGCGTGTGTGTGTGTGTGTGTTTAGGTATTCTAATGTGGTTTTGAGTGCTGCAATATGTGAGTATTTGTGCTCATGTCTGTGTGTGTGTGTCTGCAGTCTGTGTTTGGGATGTGCAGCTCTCTGGCAGTGCCACAGGAGGGGGATATTGGTCTGTGTGCCTGTACGTCTCCCCCTCACCCCCCACATCCCCCTTCTCCACACAAGATGGAAGATCCTCCCAAACCTCAGCTCTGTCTTTAGTATCCTCTTCTCTTTTCCTCTTCTTTTCATTTTTGTTTTTAGAAATACAGTTCTAAAATGCGTCGGAGCATGAGGTTTAGAAGCTGATTTTTATTTAGATTCCTTGTTCCTCTCCCCGCTGACCAACAGTTCAGTTATTTTTAGTTGGACGCTCAGTTGACGTTGCGTTGAGAACAAAAGGACGGCGACGAGACAGAGCTGGAAGAGACACAGAAGCGAGTTATTTAAAGTAGAGCTTTACAAAGCTGTTCAATCTTTTGATATTGTGTCACTTTATAACCAAAATGTGGGTTTTTATTGTTTAGAAATAAAATTCCTTAACGCTGACTCCCCTAAATAAAATAAAGTCCAACCAGTGGCATGAACTCGCCATCCCTTTGCTCAAATATGGTGGTGGCAGCATCAGGCTGTGGGAATGCTTTTTTTCAGAATTGATAGGAATGCAAATGAGACGGTACCGCTTTACAAAAAGACTCGCCATGCAGATGGCTGATACTTGGTATATAGAGAATTGATCTATGAATACTTTATAAATCATTAATACCTGCTTATTATGCATTAATTAAAGGGGAGAGAGAGACGATATGCTAACAAAATTGCATTTGCAAGTGCTTGCGGTGTTTAATGTAGCAACTTTAGATAATTAGATAAAAATATGTAGGTAAACACATTTACCTCACTATTTGGCAAGAAACCAGTCGACTTTTGTCACAACCTTCAAAAAGTCTGACTGATTCAGACTTGGACCAAAACCAAAAAGTTGCAAATTGACCTAAAGACGTGTCAATCTAATCGAGCCAAACCCCAGGAGACTTTCAGATTCAAAACGAGGCTCTGCAAAGTCCAAGCTCAGAAGGGCACAGAATAAAAACACACACCACATTTTTCCAGACTTTTATTTATTTTTTTGCCAAAAACCCTTAAAAACCATGACTCATTCTCCCTCCACTTCATAATTAAACACATTATGTTGGTCACATAAAACCTCAAAAGCACATTTTTGGTTTGTTGCAAAGTGCTAAAAACGCACCAACAAAGCACCTGGAGCTTCATCTGCTTAAAGAAACGAGCACCCAGCCTGACGAGCCCGGCCGATCCGAGGCGCATGCAGAACTCCGTTAGACACATTTAACATTGAGAACCAACGCACACTTCTGGAATTGCGCTATAAATGATTTAGAAAGGAACTCCTGTTAATATATTCTACCCCCGAGCACGCTGGCTGCCGGTTATCATGCAAATGGAGTTAGCCGAGCCTAGCTTGGGAAGATTGGGCCTCTTGCGCGGCGGCGGCAGTACATTTGTCTTCGTCGAGCTCCTGTCCTATAATATGTATGCTTGTTTGAACTGCCTGCAGGTCTGCCTGTGTCAATATCACAGTGTTAAACGGTGACAAGCTTCTGTGGGTCCCTGCTGCTTGCCTCTCTGCGTGTTATGCATTCACTTAGGCGGCTCATTGCAATGTTTTATGATTTGAAGTCATTACTGTTGCAGTGCTTCAAAAAGTATGTTGATTTGACCCCAGAATGGTCAACGTCGTAAGGTTTATGTGCACAAAATTTTCCCCCTTCGAGATTTGTTTTGATGTGAAAATCTTGGCCGATACCCGATGTTAGTATTGCCGTCGATAACCAATATGTGCTGATATACACACATCTCCCTACCCTGAGGAAACAATCACACTTCTCAGCTTCAGTTAAACACCCCGCTATCCCATGATGCATCACTATCACATGACCTAAACGGTAACAAAACGGAAATAAACATCAGTTATTAATATCGACCAACTTTTACTTACCAGACCAATACCTCTACGTAAAAAAACAAACAAAAACGTACTGTTCCACCAATGTCCAGCTACATCACGAATCCCTATTTTTCGCTTTAGACACCTGTAAGACAAATTTTAAAGATAATCTGCATACATTAAAAAAAGGCTGCTTTCAATGGACCAAAACTATCCAGACTCACCTGATCCAATGCTAAAAAGAGTAATAATAAAACAAATACTCCCTGAACCTGATAGCTGGTTGTGCTTCTGTTGCAAAAGCAACTGCTTTCAAATGTTTGTAGTAACTTGCACTGTGGAGGAATTTGGGCCCTCTTTTCTTTGCTGAATTATTTTATGCCAACCGTATTGGAGGATTTTCAAAGTCGGTTTAAGGTCATATCACAGTGTCTCGCTCTTATTTAAGCTCGGACTTTGACTGGGGCACATAGAAACCTTTGTTTTGTTTTTCTTGAAGTTGACTCTGAGGTGTGCTTTTTGATCGTTGTCTGACTGCATAACCCAAGTCTGCTTTAGCCTAAGGTCTCACACCAATGTCCGGACACTTCCTTCTACACACAGAACCAAGTTGGTCCAAATAACTCGTTTCCCCTTATCTTTATTAAATCTTAATCAGAAAATTTCACCTTGTGTCTACTAACTTTTTGTCTTTTTAGCCTAATTGGTTTGAGAATCTGAAATATTTGGACAAAGTCCAAAGCCGTAATGGGGAACTGTTTGCGTTCTTCGCTCTGATTGGCTGGTGGTTGCAGCCTTTGTTTTGCCAGCCAAGGTGCACCAGCCTGAATCCAATCAAAGCACATCTGTATGTACACTGTACGCATGTGTTTATTGCTGCGTCCAGCCTGTGGACTTAATCCCAGGATCATCCCCCCGTTCATCCTCTCATCCTTCTCACTTACAGCCCTAATCTCGTCATCCCTCGCTCTTTTTCTCCACCCAGCCCTTTATCCACTTATCTCCCTATCCCGTTATCGCTCGCTCTCATCCACTGGATCCTCACTCTAGGCCAGCTAACTTTTAAAAAATAAAAATTAACCCCTCTACATCTCACGCGCCACGTATCTTTCCCTTCCCTTTCATCCCTCCGGACTCAGTTTCTAGCCAGACTCAGCAGATGCCTGAATGCTTGGCATCAGGGCTTTTTTTTTCTTTTTCTTTTTTCTCTCTCCGCAGAATTCAGTCCCTCCCATATGAAAGTGCAGCGCAAGGAACTGCACTCCCATCTCTGCAAATTAAGCA